GTCGTCGTGGTGTGTGTGTGTGTGTGTGTGTGTGTGTGTGTGTGTGTGTGTGTGTGTGTGTGTGTGTGTGTGTGTGTGTGTGTGTGTGTGTGCGCTTGCTTGCTTGCTTGCTTGTGCGTATGAAGTGCATGTGTGTGTGTGTGTGTGTGTGTGTGTGTGTGTGTACGTGCGTGCGAGAGCGCGCGCGCGCGTGTGTGTGCACGTGCGTGTGTGAGTCTACGTGCATGTGTAGTGCATGTGCAGGTGTATTTTTTAATAGAGAAAAACATAACATATATGTCAACCAGTCAAAGGAAACTATGAAAGTGAAAATGTCAGCAATGATGGGTTCAATGAGATGAAAGCACAATCCTTCAAATGAAATATGTATCTGGAAAATATCACTATATATTATACCGGCATAGCGTAAACATGGCAACGGTGAAACCCCCACGAGTCGGTATACAACAAAGGTGATGTAACTGTTGAACTTCCCTGTAGCGCTCCTACTGAGGGAGAAACTGAAACTGGTTCACGCAGAGGCCAAATGTTTCTGCGACGACTGCACGGACAGAGGAGGCTACACCATCTCTGTAGCGGCTATGCAGCAGATGGAACCCATGTAAGTAGAACACTCAGAGAGCGCACCGGTACCCCTCCCCATCTCTAATTATGAACAAAGCAATAGATCACACGGAAACATACTTCATATATTCACTTCTAAAGAAACATGGATGGTGTTTCAATTGTAAATAGACTCACGTTTTATAACATTGAGAGAGCATTGTCTATAATGCATCCTTATAGATAGAACTTTATTGCACGACAGTTGTACGTGGTACAATGTATGGCAACGACTGTTGAACATAGTAAACGAAGAAAGGTATGGAATAAAACGTAACATCCTAACTACTAAAATAACAAATATACAAGTGGTACGTATTCATGACCAGTAAACATACCCCCCCCCCCTCCCTTCACAGGTACTGGACCCTCCTCCCCACTGAACAAGTCCCAGTGAACATCAGCTCTAGGCGGTTTACCCGCTACCTGCGAGACACCTGGTTTCCCGACGAGTCATGCACCGATCACGTCATCATTCTCGTCTCCAAGTTGGATGACCTGGTGAGTGCCTACAACTAGCCAATAACAATAAGGAATGATAACCTTAGTCCATAGTTAAGTTTATAGATAAGTTTTGCCATACTTTGTACCATGTACAACTGTTGTGCAATAAAGTTATTATAAAAAAAACAATCTGATCAGACCCTCGTGCATCTGACTGACCTGATTGCCCGGATCAGAGCGATAGGTTAAAGGTGTTTGGAAGTCCGTGGCGTCCCCCGTCCCGTTTCAATATAGGTTGGCGGATGCTGATGCACTTCTAATGATGAAATCCTTTACTGGACCAGGTTCAACTATTGGACATGAACAAGACTGCTTCGTGAGGCGGTTGAAAAATGTATTTACATGAAGACTCGCAAACCATTTGCTTATGCATGGCTTCAGGCTATTTTAGCTTATCATGAATATAGCATAGTTCAAACAAACAAACAAACAAACAAACAAACAAACAAACAAACAAACAAACAAACAAACCTGAGCTTGGAATACGAACTTCTCTGCACATAGGTACTCATCTCGCCAGGCGAGTTCGCCAAGGCCATATTACCAGACGAGAAGCTGAAGTCCATCATGAAGAAAGCCGAGCACTTCTTCAACGTCACCGGCCACTACCAGCCGCGTCTGGGTCTGGAGATCATGATCACCGAGATCGCAGAGACCTTCGACTCTCTGGAACGGGCACAGTCTTTCATACTGAGCGGGTACATGATCGGTACGTGCGAGTTTACTAACCCATACCATTGCAACCTCAGAAAAATTTGATTGGATAAGAGACATTTTCTTCGTGGCCCTTAGCTAAGACGTGCGTGGTCGTGTGGCAAAATAATTTGTAACTATGCCACATGAAGTTTCAATAGCAAGCCTCATGGCCGTATTATTCTACTCATGTGTTGTGAGGGAGAAAGAGACAGATATTTATACATATTGTTTTTGCTACGTTTCCTCTTCTTCTCCAAACTAAAAAGGTCAATGACCTGAACCAGACTGTCTGTCACCATTCTAACTAGTGTTGGGTTACATCATGTTGCAATTTTATAGCAGAAGGGATTTAGACTCCTGTCTGACCATATATATGAATGTATTTGAGTAAGAATTAACAGAGCAGACCATATGCGAAGGTAAACATTATGCATTTGCTTTGCAAATATTACCTTTCTAGTATAGGTATGTTTCTGTTCCCTGCAGCTATCATCGTTGGAGTCGTGGCATTATACTGCACTGTTGGTTTTATATGCTGCCGGACATACGCCTCCATGAAGAAGGCAGATAGAAAATACACCGGGCACGAAACTCCGTTCTTCTTCGTGTACCTCGACAAGAAGAAGCTCAAGCAAGAGGAGGAGGAGAAGCTGAGAAAACAGAAGCGCAAGGAGAAGAGAAGGGCGAAGAGGATGGAGGAGCGGAGGAAGCTGGAAGAGATGCAGGCCCAGACCAGCGACCTCGACGATCGCGACTACGACCCGAAGTACGACGGTGTGAAGGGAGAGGAGTACGAGATGCGCCCGTATAACGACCAGGCTGCCCCGATGCCGTACTGGTACGGCGCACCTCGCGGCGCCACGGCGTCCCTCCCGCCAACACCGCGGCCTGGTAGGTCCATGAGCGGCCGCGCTAGCACGCTGGGGACTGCGTCAGTGCCGGCCTCTCCTATGACAGGCGTCCGCGGGAACCCCCTGTACAAGCCCCGGTCCTACACCATCCAGCCCAGCCCGTCTCTCGGCAGAGAGTCCACCGTCTACCCCGTAAGACCGCTAGGCTCTGCCGTGTCTGGCGCCAACTCAGAATCCTCTATCCCGCCCTCCTCTGGCTCTACACGTAACGGCATCAACGACAACAACAACCCATACGTCCTCTGCTTCGAGAGCACCATCTAAACGAAGAGTCATAGTTGACACGAGAACAGACTCAATTGACAGCTTTACCAAGCGGATATTGGTGCAAAGTATTACACACTTTGTGTAACCACATTTTTGCGTGGTAAATAAAGGCTGCTTTTGCGGAAGATCCTTCCCCGCAAGATTCAGCAACAAGCTTACTGGCAACCGACAGCCTTGGGGCATGTTCTGCTGCATGAAGCCTTGGATGACGCGGTGCATGGTTGAGCCTGGATGACCGGAACACAAGGCATGCAAGCTGGACTTACATGCGGCCTAAAAAGACGAGAGCAAACACAACATTCTGCTCACACTGTGCGAGCGCATTTCGATCTTTGCATGACCAGTTTGCAGTACAGTTTGGCCCTCGCAGCTAGGGCTATAGAGATGTTGGTTCGGTGCATGAAGTTCGTCTGACAGATGCGTTTCTGTTGTCCCTTCTGCATGTTTCAACAACCCCTTGTTAACGTTTTGCCCATGCCAATATCGATGTCCAGTCAGGTGTCCACACGCCGTGATGTGACCAGTGCATTGATGTCAAAACGTAATACTAAGACTATTGAACATTCAGATCCTTGCTTTACTTTAATACATGTATAATCATGTGTTACTCCATTCGCTGGCTCTTGGTCATGATTAGCTACATTAGCTAAAAATAGATCATTGTAACATGTATAAACAATGTTGTTGTATGTTTACATGGTCTCACCATCAAGTGGTTCCATAATGTTCAATTGTATTTAAACATTTAGTGATCTTTTGTATAGTGGAATGTTTCATTGTGTGAATAGAGTTGTGATTCAGACTTGTTACTCGAACTTAGCTTCGTGGGAAAACTTGTTTGAAGTATTAACGGAAATACTTATAACAGTTCGACAAATTTTGTTGGGTAGAACTGGAAAAACTGAGCAACTATATGATGTAACAAAATGATGATGACAAGGTGTTTTCAACACAATAACAACATGTATCAAACTTCTGTGCGAAAATATATTAGATCAATCGTGTAGAATAACTGCTTGTAAATAGTGCGGCTTTGAGAATGTTGTAAAAAGTATTTACATTACAGGGCAAGTTGTCTTGTTATCATATATACATGAGACATGTGCTACCTTGATTATCATGAAAGTTCATCTGTGTTGGTAGTAATCATAGTGAAATGTTGAACTTTATTCCAACACAAGGCGTACACAGAGATCTTGTGAGTTTATGTTCGGAAGGGGTCATCAATTATCCCAATAAAGGCGACAGTGGTTGTTCAAAATCTGATCTCTGTGTAAACCTTGTGTTACAATAAAGTTCAACATTTTACTGTGTGGTACCGTGATGTTTACAAGAATGGAAAAATCTTACTAGAGACATGTTCTGCCTTAATTTCAGTTTAGAAGAATGGAAAAGATACCAGAGATGTATGTCCTACCTTAATGCTTATGAAAATGAAAAAAAAATCAAATACATACATTGTATGGCCAATCCACCACCAAGGGTGGAACTTATGTTTGGATACAGGCCCTCAAATGTCTTTAACACTAATTAGCTAATTAGTTATTATATTATGAAATTTTTGTACATGTAGAAACCATTACAAGACAAAAAAAAACAAGCTGTAAGATTGTCTATTGTAATTGCCTACATGTTACAGTGCCTAAGTATAACTCATTTGTAGAAGTGTGCATGTTTGAAAGTCCTTTATGTCAATCATGTTTAGGTCTGATTTAGGTTTCACAACCATAACTTAACTGTTTGTCTTTATGATGATATATTAGTAAATACTTTTTATTTCAAGTCCACAGTTAATTAAAGATTAGTTTTGGTCTTGTTTTGACATTTTCCTATTGAAAATATTGCAACTGGGAGGTCTTCATCAATCTGTACTATATTTGACCCCCATCTCATTTTTCCATTGTTATATAAAACTACATTGTACAAATGTAGATATGTATTTTCCTGACATGTAAAAATACTTGAAAAAGTGGTGTTGCACAAATATACAGATCTCTGATGCAATATTGAATATGCTTATGAAATTTACAATATTGAGCTCTTAGGTCATAATTGCAAAGCCACCACAGAGCAAAGTGGTTAATTACAAAGTCATCTCCATTGACTTACCTTAAGTATGATACACATAAGTATTATGTACAGTATGAAAGAAATATGAATAAAATGATAATTTTCCTTTGCACTTTCATATACATGTGTTACTAAATGCAGTGTAAACATTGACAGTAAGTCGACACCAATTTGATTTCTTGGTTAACGGATTTTTCTAGAAAAATAATGGAGCTGGCGGGCGAAAAAAAAAATAAAAACAGGCCTAGGCATCCTATTATGGCCCAAAATGGTACAATAGGAGCCATGAAGTGACAACACACCAGGCTAGTTCAAAATTTAAACAATGAATTTTGAACTTTTAATGATACCATTGCATTGAAAGATGGAATAACTGTAACAACTAGGATGAAAAGGACTGTTTTCAACTGTTCAGGGCAAAATATGAGCATTTTGCAGTTGATTCTGAATTTTTATTTTTATTTGCAAATCAGAAAAAAATGAAGCAGGCAAATCCGTTGACCAAGAAATTAAATTGGTGTGGCCTAAGGCACACATACAAATTCTCTCATTGGTAGATTTCATTGATGAAATCAAGCTAAGCTTGGTTGGTTTAACACATTGATGTCCCCCTCCCCCTTTGAGGGACAGCACATATTGTCACCATGAATATCCCAAGATCAGATTACACGTGCCAGACGCAGGAACAGCACATGACAGGCTCGTAACACAGCCCCGACCGCTCTCTGTAATCCAGCACTGACCGGTCCCAGACATGGTTCATCAGCCAAAACGGGATCATCACCAGGAGGAACGCTGGAGAGAGAAATGTGTATCAACTAGGAGAGGGTAACGGTTCAGTATGATCAGGTTCAAGTCCAGATTTAGGTCCTGGACTTGACTATACTTCATTTTTATTTAATTCCTATAAGTCCTGGTCCATATGCTGGCAAACAGTGAGATGAATACAGAAGAACTTTATTGCATGACAATTGCACAAGGTACAATGTACAGAGTATCAATATACATAACACAAATGAAATACAGTACCTACAGTATACTGACATTACTGGACCGATGAAACAGTTTAATTAATCAAACATTATGAGCAGATAAATGGTGTAAAAAAGAAAATGACCCTTAAGAAAAATGACGAGTGGAATAGTATTTCCAAATATTTCCAAAAATAATTTCATCAGGTTGGTAGAACCAAGGACATTATATACTGTATAATGTCCTTGGTAGAACATAGGATATTGGGATTTTCTTATACACTGCCAGTTATTGTTCTTACCTTGTTTACATTTTGATGTCTATCATACACCTTCCTCAGAGCTCAGACTAGAGTACTAGTACTGTGAAAATGAGATTGTGTTCTTGACGCAAAAGAGCCACCTACATTGGCTACATAAAGCGGTGAGAAGTAGTACTCCAGTCAGAGGCTCTGAAAATCCCAATATCCTATTCTCAAGTATTGTTAAGAAAGAAACATGGAATGTGAGTATTTAAGTACTAAAACTCCACTGACCTGTGGTGATCATTGCCATGATTGTGAATGCCAGGGACAGATAGTACAACTCAGGGGTGTTGTTTCTCTGTAAACATGGAGGGATACAAATTATGTCCTCACAAAGATGTAAGAGGCTTAAATCACCTTACAGATGATACAGTTATAATGTTAACATGAGATATAGTATGAAACCCTTTAGTGAACATTCTAAACCTACCAAGACATTTATATAAACAGTGGTGTTACTTTTAAAAGCTGATTCTAGAAATAAACAAAACAGTAGCAAGACCACATCACCTAATGCATAAATGTTTACCTTCGCATATGGTCTGCTCTGTTAATTCTTACCCAAACACATTCATATATATAGTGGTAGGAGTCTAAATCCCTCCTGCTATAAAATTGCAACATGATGTAACCCAACACAAGTTACCATATTAACAGACAGTCTGGTTTAGGTCATTGACCTGTCTGATTTGAAGGAGAAGAAGAAGAGGAAACAGAGCAAAAACAATGTGTTTTCCTTCAGTAAACATAAAAATGAAACCTACGCATTCCTCCCCCGTAGCAGTCTGTATTGTGTAGATTACACCCAATACAAAAGCCGCCAGGCCGAAGACGTGGAAGGCCAGTTTGACTTCCCGCGGTACTGGATCCATCAGCGCAAACAGGAACGTAAAGCCTGCAGATACAGTCAACAAAACTGTGAGTATGTTGTGAAGAGGTTCTTCTGGATTGTAAAGAACTGGTCGCACACTGGACTTTTGTGGAGCTTGATGGTTTATTGTGTTGCCTCCAGGACTCCTAACACCAGAGTGAGGTTCCTGGGTTGGACTATTCTACTTCTAAGATAGGGGGTTGTGTAACAGGACTAGTCTACTTATATGATAGGGGGGTTCTTGTATGGTAATGCACATATGGTTCACAGTGGGTTCACAACATACCTCCCCTCACACAGGAGGATTGACGAGGTCAATCTGAATAATAATAATAAACAGTTGAACCCACTGGTTAATTACTTACTTAAGTTACAGATGACATAGGTATTGTTGTACATGTATTATATTAAAGTTACAGAAAATGATACGGCGTGGAACAAAGTAGCTGTTTGAACCTCAGAAGACAAACTCTGGTTGACAAAGAGACCCAGTCGAATGCCTGGAACACTGAGGAACAGTTTGCTACTTTGTGTACCAGATAATGGTTGGGAATCAGGTTAACTTGTATCATACACAATGCAAATTTGGAACAACAAGGTAGCTATTTGAACTTCAGAAGGCAAACTCTGGTTAACGACGAGACCCAGTCGAATGCCTGGCACACTGAGGAACAAATTATTTACTACAATGTCTACCAAATAAGTAATGGGAAGTACAGTACAATATAGAAAATGGTATAACAATGGAGGTAGAAAAACATGGATCAAGGTGTAGCTATGATTTATACATCAGAAACAAACCCTGGCCAACGTAAAGTGAACCAGCTGAATGTTTGGCACACTGAAGCACTAAATTGTTGCCACACTGACCAAGAGACAGGAAACTGTGAATATTTTACTTTGGCCTGTTGTTTTTGAACAGGGCTAATGGCTACCACATGTGGTGGGGCAATCAGGGGCTGGTCTGAACACATCTTGCTCAGGCCACATGGCATGCATGGGAAAGGAAACTTTGCAAAAACAAAGTTCTAGAATAAACACTTACAGGAATGTTAAAATGTAAATCTAGCTAGCTGTAAAGAGTCCAAGAATATAAATGTGAGAATGTTTCTGCTAGAGGCTACAGTTCAACTGGAAGCTTGCTTGCATAAGTACAGTCTTAGTGTGTGGTCTTGCTGGGCCTGACACCAACAATGAAGGATTCCCGAACGTTCCTAAGACTCTGTCCCACCCGAGGCCTGGAAGCTTGCTTGACCGCCGGTTTCTGGCAGTGGACCCTGAAGACTGGACACGTGCCTGCATTCACTCGCCTCCCGATTCCACCCGACGAGTTCGGCAGCTTACTTTACAAATCGTTCTGTCAGTAGAGTTTGGAGATGGGGCTGACCTCTGTCTCATGAATTTCTACCCGACGACTTGAAGCTTGCGTGACCGCCCGTTGCTGGCAGTGGACGTTGGAGACCGGATACAGTGCCGTATTCGCTAGCCTGGTTCCACCCGACGAGATCGGCAGCTGACTAGACCACCCATGCTGTCAGTGGGGTTTGGAGACTGGAGACAGTTCTTCCCTTCCTTCACGTGGTATCGGATGTTTCGAACCCATAGAAGACTGTATCTTGAATGTAGGGTGTATTTCTGCTGGAGGCTGGTACGATGTTGAGGTTTCTGGGTCCAGGATAAAGTGACAGAATGGCCAAGGTCTTACTCACCCTCCCACAGCAGCTTGGCACATGGTGGAGCTGGAAGTCGTCAGCTCTGCGGTGAGTTTGGCCGGATGGGTACAGTTCTGTGCATCGATATCGTGCTGACCGTCAGTACAATCCTGTCCGTGACGCCATTTGTTGTGAAGAGGTTCTTCTGGATTGTAAAGAACTGGTCGCACACTGGACTTTTGTGGAGCTTGATGGTTTATTGTGTTGCCTCCAGGACTCCTAACACCAGAGTGAGGTTCCTGGGTTGGACTATTCTACTTCTAAGATAGGGGGTTGTGTAACAGGACTAGTCTACTTATATGATAGGGGGGTTCTTGTATGGTAATGCACATATGGTTCACAGTGGGTTCACAACAGGGTAAAGCTTCCGAAAATAGTTTCATCAGGTTGGTAAAGTGTTCTTTCTCAGTTCTTTCTCAGCCTCCACCAGGACTACCAGTTATTGGTAGTAAAATTTGGCACAAATTATTGGTAAATAATTGGCCAGGAAAGTGAGCGTGCAGTAAGGGTAACTGTGCAAGCCAATGAAACCCCACATTAGCCAAACTAGGCAAATTATTAGAGCTTCTATTGCGTAAACTCCCCCCCCCCAAAGGACCAATCCCAAAACGTCTGCAAAGAAGGCTAATGCCCAGTAAGGCCATGTTGATTTGATTATATGGATGACATCCTCCGGGAACCCCAAAATTCAAAATTGATGCGCGAGTGCGAATAAAAAAAAAGTTTTGCGAAAAAAAAAGTTGTTTTCATTATGAAATCTACGTGGTCATGAGGGTTGAACAAATGGGACAGAATATGGTTTGGCGAATTATCTAGTCTTCAAGTTCACTTCTTTACAATTTCGTTTTTTTCGTTTGATTTTGGCATTCTACGACATTGGTATGTTTTTTTTTGTAACTTGCGGTATATTTTTGCTCATTTTGCAACTGTTTTGTACAATTTACAGTATGGTTGAAACCTTTTTTTTTTTGAAATGGCCGAAAATTCATGCGCGCGCGGATGTCATCCATATAATCAAATCAACATGGCCTAATGGTTACTGAATGGTCCCTTACCTATCATACAGAAGTAATGGTTACTGAATGGTCCCTTACCTATCATACAGAAGTAATGGTTACTGAATAGTCCCTTACCTATCATACAGAAGTAACGGTTACTGAATGGTCCCTTACCTATCATACAGAAGTAATGGTTACTGAATGGTCCCTTACCAATCATACAGAAGGTGAAAACAATGGAGGCCACCAGTAGGTCAAACAGCTGCTGCCCGCAGTATCGAGTGCTCTGATCTCTGGTAAACAAAAACAAAAAATTAATGTAAACAACAACAGCCCAGTAGTTTTGACTTTGATGTCTCTGCATATCAATAATATACACCACAACATGTACATGGAGTCAAGAGTTTTGCAATAAAATTTTCCTCAACAGCAAAACAACAGGTGAGGACACTTTGCACTTAATCATAGTTAACTTTATCCATTTCACTTTTTTCATTCACCAAACTGTAGTATTAAAAGTTTTTGAAGTTACCTGGTCAGAACAAAGAACTGTGGAACCAACAGGGCACAGGTGAAGATGGTCACCACAATACGACTGGGGAGGAAGGGTTAAACATCAAACAGCATGTCAGTTTGCAATATGATCATTCGTCAATTGCAAGTACATGGTTGTATTATGCTATCTGCGCCCAAGTAGGATATAATAACTCATCAAAATTATACTCTACATGACACTGTATCTTCAGTTGCTCTTTATCAAGAGCTCAACATGCCTAAATCGTTTATAAATTTGCACTGACATGGGTCCATTGCATGACCAAGTATGTAAAATATATGTGTATTATTGTTAATAGCCAGGGTGCCATCCCCCGTAGTTTTTGCCAGCTCCATATTGTGGTAAGCCAGTGACATTAGGGTGCTAGCAGAAACTACAGAGGATAGCACCGAGCTAATAAAACAGTATGTACGTACTACATGTATGTTGTGACACAGTAACACTACAATACCACATGTATAATTGACAAACCTGTGTATATGTATAAACACAAACCTGAGCACAAGTTATCAAGGTGAGTTTATTGTTGTGTTTATTATGATAAGGAAAAGTTTGCCCTACTCACATCTTGAGCCTGTTTGTCTTGGGGAACCATCTGATGAGGTGGTACACACTGTGTGGCCAGCAGTAGTACCACATGGTGATGGCACTGCTGTTACTGGTAGTGGTACCACTGTAGGTGAATTACAGGTACTGCTGTCAGTTACAGGTTAACTCAATAACTGTTGTGAGTTAGGTACTACTGTTGTGGGTTTTGTATCTGTATCAGATTTAATATTTGTTGCTAGTCATAATCAAGACTATGGTTAAGTTTTAGTTAAACATTGTGCTGTACAGCACTGTAAGTCGCAAGTAAAATGTGTAAGGCACATAAGGACATAAGAGCTGACACTTTGCATTTCACATCAGTTACCGTGGCAGGCAGTGCCTAACGTTAGAGTAAGGGTTATTCGCATGAATCATAAAGCAAAACTGGGTAACAACAACAACAGATAACTGTTAGAACTTAGACAGGTGCTGGATGTTGGGTGGAAATTGTTGAAATTTAGAGCATTGGAACCTGGAGCAGTGCTTCAAACCATCCCAACATCTGATCTCCGAGTTACACGCTAACACATACAAACTCTGCTGGGCAAAATTTGGGGGAGGGGGGTGGAATAATTTTGTGCAACGTTTTCTCTTAGAGTAAGGCTGCCAAACACCTACACTCTAAGTCCTTTTAGTATTCAGGCGGCACTCACCTAAAATATTTCTGCTACCTCCGAGCCAATATACCCCCTAACACAGCCTATGATAATATATTTCTGAGCGACGCGGAAAAAAAAACTTCCTGCACAGGAACTGAGTGGTGACGTCACGGTTACCTGGCAATGGCGTCTGGGCGTATGTGCGACCTCTGGCGGATTTGGTGAAACAGCAGGGCTAGCAACATACTTTCTGCCTCATGTAATACAGCTATAACGGAGTGAGAGAGAAATCTTTGCTGTGTGTGAGAGAAATATCCAGCGTTGTGTGTCGGATAAAATACATCATTTAAGATAACGACTATGCATGTGAATTAATTTATCGCTCACTAAAGTAAGATCTAAACCGCCTTGATATGTGTATGAATATTGAAGTTAAAACATCACCAGTTAGCTTATCTTAAAAAACTTGAAGTAGAAATCGCTCTAACATAGACAGAGTTTCTCTCTCCCACACAGAGGAAAAATCGCTCACTCAGAGCACTGACTGAAAGGGGCTCCCTGAGTGCTGTGTGTGAGAGAAAAATCCAGCGTTGTGTGTCGGATAAAATACATCATTCATGATAACGTCCGTGGCCTATGGGGGAGACTTGTGTCAGAGTGAAATATAGCATGTGTGGCTGTATTAAAGGGAATTTTGGTGGTGATCACGGGGTGGTGATACGGGGTGTAAATTTAGTTCGAATTTACAGTGTATGTAATTGTTGAAGATTGTCATGTAGACATGTGATTTTTTTTGTGTGTGACAGAGAAGGTTTGTAGATCTGTGGCTATCCATTCTACAGTAGTACTCATCTCCAAACATACAAAAGCGCCCTCCTCATCACTTCCCACAACAACGCCATTGCACCCTGCCGATGCACGCCTGCAAAGGAGGCTAATGGAAAGGGGCTCATTTGTTATCATTGTCATTACATCAATATCATAGGTCGTACGCTAACACGACGAAGTATGCTTTTATCAGCATGTTACCTTAAAAGGTCCTCTGTGTGCAGAAGAAATATATCCACGTATGTGTGATCCTTTTTACCAGTGTTGTGTGGGAGAGAAAAATTTCTGTATGTGTGAGACCTTTTTACCAATGTTGTGTGGGTGAGAAAAATTTCTGTATGTGTGAGACTCTTTTACCAGTGTTGTGTGGGAGAGAAAAATTTCTGTATGTGTGATCCTTTTTACCAGTGTTGTGTGGGAGAGAAAAAATTCTGTATGTGTGAGACCTTTTTACCAGTGTTGTGTGTGAGAGAAAAATCGATTATGTATATGTGTAATTTTGCAACACTTGGCCCCCGATACTCACAATATGCTACATCATAAGGCCCTTAGCTTTGATGGTAATTGTAACGTGGAACAAGGATATTTTGTTTTTCCTGGATGTTAACGTTACATGTTCTAGAAAATCAATGGAACCGTGACAAATTTCAATATTAGATGATTAATATGCCTTGCTGTAATATAACCAGCAACCGGCACGTGCCCGCGACAGTAGTATATTTCACCACGGTTGATTAATGAAATATGAATTTAATATAAATCGAAAACGATGCATAAGTATAGTCCAGAGTCTGCATACCTCTGAAAGAAGTGTACAAAGCTGTTCTAGCTTGTTACAGTATCATAATAATTCCATTGCCCATCCAGGCTTACTCACAAAATTTAGTATATATAACGTTATATATAACGCATGCGTTATTTTTTCTAGTTTTCCCCCAATGTAAGTTCTCCTATGATCCTGCAGTTTTTACAGCAATGTGACATTCTATCTGTTATGTTAACTGTATATATAGATGGATACTACAAGCTCTCCCACCAATCACATATGTAATGTTACAACATGATATTAAACATTTATCCTCTCTGCTGTGGCACGCAAATCTTTATATACCTTGATACGTGATGCCATCTTCGGGATGAGGAGGCTTTGCCTGTGTTAATCCCGGTCACGAACGTTATAGCAAGGACATTATCAGTGTATAATGCCTTGGTTATAGTCATGTAATGTACTTCAGGCTCTTCCAGTGTTTGTCTAACCGTAATTTAAACTCGTCGTTCACTGTTTTAGAGTCTACCACCGACTGTGGTTGGGCATTTCAATCGCTGACCACCCGAACACTGAAAGTCTGCCTTCTAAACCTTCCTCTGGTCAAGGGAACTCCGAGTTTACAGCTGTGCCTTCTTGTAGGACGTTTTGAAGGTCTCGAGCTGGATCCCCTCCAACCCTCTTGCCAGCTTCAACGACTGGATCATGTCCACTCTCTGTCACCGGTACTGAAGGGATGGAAGACCTGGACTGGCCCCCAGTCGCTCCTGGTAGGGTATGTCCGGATCCCTGAGGCTCAGAGCTCTTCGTAAGTACATTCATTTCTTTTTGAATCTGACGCCAGAGGGTGAGATCATCACGATTCTTTAAATTAGTTCTGTCAAACCCACATTGATGTTCTCGTAATGAATAGTCTGGCAGTCAGCAAAGGGCAGGTGATTTGTGACAGCCCGCCTCAGCAGCAGCTCACATGCGGTACCGGTGGAGGAGAGAAATTTTTGGGAACTGGAACTTTGAGAGCCAAAGAAGTGGCGTTTCTCATAAAGCATAGGTTGTGATATTGTGATATTGATACCAGGATCGCAATATGAACTAGTCTTGCTCGTGCTATGTTATCAGATGCCAAGTGCATTGTAATGTATATGTCACAGCCAGCAAGTAACTGCCACAAGTCATTATTCTTTCTTATTGAATGACAATTTGTTATCACAAACAGTTGCATCTCTGGTACTATCTAACAAGTAATTTTAAAGTCGTATGTAGATAAAACATAATGATTTCTGATCCCTGCTGGCCGTATTCCTCCCGGTCTGCCCCCCTCCCCCATGATTGACGTTTCTAAAACATCCACAGGGAAACGACTCGTTACGTCATCAGCTGACTAATATTCCAGTAGACAACATGGGTTAATGTTGGGCCGGTCAAGTTTCGTCAAAGCAGTAGGCATGTTGAATAGTTTTTGTTTTATTTCACTACATTGCATCACCGGAGAACACCAAACTTAACTTAACCTAATTGACTGTAGCGCATTAGATGATTGTCTTAGATTTAGCCTTACGGCACATTAGATGATTCTCTTTGACTTACGGTGCAGCCTGGTTTTATAAGAGGCTTATCATTATTACCTGGCACGGAAAATCTCGAGATTTATCAAGATGAATTTGGCTCATAGTAAAAAAAAACAATTTCAGTCAGTGGTTTTGACATCAATAATTCAGCTTAATACATGATCTGCGGTTTATAAACGCTCAAGGTTCGTCTTGCTTGTATCATTTCAGACCACAATCATATGAACAAGGGCGTTTCAAGCCTGGGAAACAGCTAGAACAATACTGGCATGGAAACTGACTTTCAAAACGCGACCTACGCGGTCAACGCAACGGTCAGCGATTGGATGTTCATATACCCCAACACCACGCGTTTCAGCACCAATGACAGCTCCAGTGGTCCTCCACCAACGTCCGCTTCTCCCCCATCAACGGGCTTCACTGTTGGCTTGCCGATGATCATGGGTGTCCTGGCCGTGGTGGGAACAACTCTGAACGGTACAGTCATTTTCGCTGTGGGGTTTCACAAAAAGCTCCGGACTGCCACCAGCTGGTTCGTCGCAAATCTAGCGGCTGGAGATCTCCTGGAGACGGCTGTCTACCTGCCGTTCGGCGTGTACACGGCCACCACCCGCCGGATTCCGTTCCACGACGCCGTGTGTACCGCGCTCGGCACCATCGGCATCTCCAACAAGTTCACTTCGCTGTCCTGCATGGCGCTCATCGCCTTTCACCGCTACATGCTCATCACCAAGGCTAAGTCTACCTACAAGGCCTTCTTCACCACCAGAAACAACGTTCTGATCGTTCTGCTGGCCTGGGTCGTGTCCTGGACGGCCTCCATCCCCTTCATTCTCGGTTACGGCTTCCTCGGTATGCAGAAGACCATGTCGGCCAGTATTTGTGTCGCGACGACGGGGCCTTTCGTGGGGACCCGTGCGGTGATCGGGACACTGTACGCCCTGCCTGTCCTCACCATGCTGTACAGCTACACCGCAATCTATCGGCACGTGAAAAACGCTTCGTACAATCCAGACAACCCCTGTATTCAGAACCATGGAAAGAAAAATCTGGTCAAAGTGGCTAAAAACCTGGCAGTTCTGGCGTGCGTGTTTTGTGTGTTAGTGGGACCATCCTGCGTACTTCTGTCGTCGGGTATGGCCTGGCCTGGCCCTGTTAACGCTCTAGTGTGGACTATGTACTATGCCAACTGCTGTATCAACGCGTTTCTTCATATCAGGAAGAACTCGGATTTCAAGCAGGCCTGCCGGAAGATGCTGTTCTGTCGCCTACCGGAGGAAGACCAAAGTGAAGATGTTCCTAGACAGGCAATATTGGATCCAGCCATCGGCCGTAGGGTTCAATCAGGCCCCAGTCGACGTTTGACCGCCAAACGTTTACAGCTATACCGTCTCGAGCCAAGAGAGCCATGTGAGTTACCTAGTGTGTCAACGTAGATACCTAGTGTGTTACCTTGTTACCTCTAGTGTGTCAACCCTTGTGGGGTCGTGGGGCGTAGCGGTAGCGTGTTCGGCCAAGGCCCAAGAGGTCCCGGGTTCGAATCCTGCCCGGTGTCACCGATCTTGTGCCCTTGGGAAATGTACTTTACACGACTTTCCTCACTTCACTCACTCACTTCACTGTAAATGAATACCTAGCTTCGGTTAAGGACGTCCCTCGGATAGGACTTGAGGTCCAGTGTTTGGGAGAGCCACACCACACGCAAGCTAAAGAACCCGCCGCACTTATCGAAAAGAGTAGGGGACCTTCCCGGTGTGAGTGGTTCAAACCTTAGTAATACAGTCTGGTCTCAGGTTTGACATCTTGAAGAGGTGATAAGTCACCTGTTATGTCAATCCTTCCACAAATGTGGTAAATCTTCATAAACTGAAATAGAATAAAATAAAATAAAATAAAAAAAAATAGTTGATATATCATCCCTCCTTCCGACATGTTCAAAATTTCGGTATGTAGAGTTTAAAGAGGACGATAAGAAGTGGTCGCACACAATATTTTATCCAAGTGGAAATTACAGTACAGACATGGTGCCGCTGTACCACAGTGCAGGCCGGTGTCGCTAGTGTGTAGCCATAAACAAACATGCCGTATAATGCCTTTATTTACTATGCTATGATATATTATTGTTTGCATGACTGAGACTACTTGTGCAAAAGAATATTATTCCGGCGTCAAAGAACAAAAGAATAGCCACAAATCCTCTACGGGATGAAAGGAGATGCCCACTCATGTCTCCACTCAAAGAAAACTCAGTCTGCCAAACACGAAAGCTTGAAACCTATCCTCTTGGTGGCGTCTCATGTGAAATCGTCTGTCTGATGTCAATATCTGCTGGTTTGACATCACCCTCTTATGACCACAGAGAGTTCTTAATACCATTGTCTACTCATGTACATATACATGTATGCAGAGACGATGATAAAACACAACGTCAACATCCAGTCCAACAAGGCCAACAAAGTCACAAAGCTCACAAGTCATATCAATGACGATAAGAGATTTTTCTAATCTCGTTGTGATTGGTCTGAGGACGGCCAATCAGAAAGAGGTCTGAGCAGCGCCTATCTCTGATGCCACATTTCTCCCGTGCTGCCCTCCCATCATTATTAGAACATCAACAGGGAACCGACACGATACGTTGGCAGTTGACTGTACATGTAGTACACAAGATGAGGATAGGTAGTGTATGTCTGAACGTTCATCAAGCAGAAACCATCATGTTGAAAATTTGTCAACGCACCACATTAACAGAGAACAGTAAATTCAGAGACTACTTACTTCAGTGAATGTAACTCATCAGAAGATCCTCTTATATATAATACCACTCTTATGTACCGCACGGTACAGGCTGGTGCCATAAAAGGCTTATTTTGATTACGCGGCACGAAAAATCTCAAGATTTGTTAAGATGAATTTTGCTCATAGTAAAAAAACTACAACGAGGGGTCTTAACATCAATAATGTATAGTTTGTGGTCTATAAAAGCTCAAGGTTCACATTGCGGTATCATTTCAGACCACAAACACACAAGTGAGGTCGTGCTAGTCTGAGCAACAAAAGAATACTGGCATGGAAATTGACTTTCAAAACGCGACCTACGCGGTCAACGCAACGGTCAGCGATTGGATGTTCATAGACCCCAACACCACGCGTTTCAGCACCAATGACAGCTCCAGTGGTCCTCCACCAACGTTAACGTCCGCTTCTCCCCCATCAACGGGCTTCGCTGTTGGCTTGCCGATGATCATGGGTGTTCTGGCCGTGGTGGGAACAACTCTGAACGGTACAGTCATCTTGGCTGTAGGGTTTCACAAAAAGCTCCGGACTGCCACTAGCTGGTTCGTCGCCAATCTAGCGGCTGGAGATCTCCTGGAGACGGCAGTCTACCTGCCGTTCGGCGTGTACACCACCGCCACCACCCGCCGGATTCCGTTCCACACCGGCGTGTGCGCCGCGCTCGGCACCATCGGCATCTCCAACAAGTTCACTTCGCTGTCCTGCATGGCGCTCATCGCCTTTCACCGCTACATGCTCATCACCAAGGCTAAGTCTACCTACAAGGCCTTCTTCACCACCAGAAACAACGTTCTGATCGTTCTGCTGGCCTGGGTCGTGTCCTGGACGGCCTCCATCCCCTTCATTCTCGGTTACGGCTTCCTCGGGATGCAGTCGGCCGGGATTTGTGTTGCTGCTGCGACGGGGCCTTTCGTAGGAACCCGTGCGGTGATCGGGACACTGTACGCCCTGCCGCTCCTCACCATGGTATACAGCTACACCGCAATCTATCGGCACGTGAAACACGCGTCATACAACCTAGACAACTCCCTTCTTCAACAAGAACGGAAGAAAAATCTGGTCAAAGTGGCTAAAAACCTGGCAGTTCTGGCATGCGTGTTCGTTGTGCTCGTGGGTCCGTCCTGTGTACTTTTGTTGTCCGGTATGGACTGGCCTGGCCCTGTTAACTACCTTATATGGCCTATGTACTATACAAACTGCTGTATCAACGCGTTTCTTCACATCAGAAAGAACTCTGATTTTAAGAAGGCCTGCCGGAAGATGCTGTTCTGTCGCCTACCACAGGGAGAGAACAGTCAAGATGTTCCAAGACAGGAAGACCTTCCGCCACCAATGGGCCAGAGGTCAGACGCGAATTCTGGTCAACCTTTGGCCCCACAACCTTTCACCCAACAATTCTTGACCGCGAACTTCCGTATTGAACCGAGGGAACCGTGTTACCTACCTACGGTGTCAGACTAGCTTGCGAACTTCAACAGCACTTCAACAGTGGGGTCGTGTGGCGTAGCGGCAGAGTGTTCGACTCGGAACCAAGAGGTCCCGGGTTCGAGTCCTGACATGCCACCGATCTTGTGCCCTTGGGGAAGGCACTTAACACGATTTTCCTCACTTCGCTCAAGTGAAAATGAGTATTGTATTGTCCCCTGTGTTGGTGGCGGCATCAATATAAGTTGAAAAAACTTGAGTCTGCCGTCACCACGTCTTGTGTGATTACATGTTGGAATATAAAAAAAAACTTCGACAGCACCGTCGCCACGTGTTACATGGAATATGAATACATCCAATAAAATGTAAATACAATTAGGCGTACTTTGTGTTACACTATAGGATGTATTGGTAAACAAACTGAAGCGAACATGTAACCCCGAAAGTGGTGAACAACTCATGTAATTTGTATTTGTACTCAAATATGATATTGGTAGTGTAATATATGATGGAACTCAGGCGTTAACTTCTCAGTAGTCAACATGTTAAAGAGTATTACTATTTTTGGAAACCTGATGTAAGGGTGAGCATGAAATGTTACTAACTATATATTGATTTATTTCCAGCTGATAATAAAGAAGTTGTATGTAATTGTGTTCAATGGTTAAATTGACTTGTCAAATTTTGTCTCGTGTAAGCCAACTCGATGGTCATCATACTGTGTAAACCAGCTAGTCCGTCGTTAATAGGTAGGCTGCTGTTGCTGAACATATAGCAGGTTGATAATACACGTACAATTGTAACCATTTGGGTCAAAGTCTGACCATGGAGTGGTCATGTAAATACACAATTTCGATCTGTGCAAAGCTGAAAGTGCAGTTGACAATATGTGATGTACATGTTGTAACATTTATATCGTGTGTGAACCAGACAATTGTGAACATTTGATGCACATCTTCAGTCAGTGTGAATTTGAGAGTAATGGAGATGTAATGTAACATGTGATGTAACATGGATCGGTTTTGTTCAAGTTGTGATTCAAAGTAATAAAGAGTTGGTCATAATTTTCAACGATTCATGTCTGTTCTTTGAAAATTCAGGAATGCCTATTGCTCATAATGAAAATTTACATTTCTATATCTATCGTACTTTTTTTCTTTTCCGAGAATATTTGGGTACGTAACGTAACGTATACGTAAGACATAGGGTATAGAATTTTCTTCTTACACAACCAGTAAGGTTCTCACCTGCTTACGTTTCGATGTCTATCAGACACCTTCCTCAGAGCTTCTGACTGGAGTTCTGCAACTCGCCGCTATTTAACGCCAATGTAGGTGGCGCTTTTGCGGCGAGAATGCAATCCCAAACGTGGCTGAGCTTGTATCCCCCCTCGTCCCGGTTCATCACTGGGGTTGCATTCTCGCCGCAAAAGCGCCACCTACATTGGCGTTAAATAGCGGCGAGTTGCAGAACTCCAGTCAGAAGCTCTGAGGAAGGTGTCTGATAGACATCGAAACGTAAGCAGGTGAGAACCTTACTGGTTGTGTAAGAAGAAAATTCTATACCCTAAGTATCTTCCAACCTGATGAAATTATTTACGGGTAACGTAAGACAGTTTGAGAGTTTAACAAAGCAAACGGCAGTGCGACCTATCGGCACGTTTATTGACCTGTTAGCCTGTGATAGTTAGCAGGAACACATTATCTGAGTAGATAACAATGTTTCACGTCAAACTGAGACAATACAAAAACATAATACACGCTTCTTTCTGTGTATCCATTAAAAATTTCGAATGATAAAGTCTTCATTTAAGGTAATCTATACAATCTTATATATGGCAATACACCGAATTTCTTTAGATACATTCATAAAAATATATTGCTCAGCGGGGATAAAATATATTACCTCCAGCATACAGCAACTGTATTTACAACATGTTAAATGCATAAAATACAGATATAGTCTTATTTAGTCTCTCTTATATTCTTATATATTCTCTTACATATGGCCAGAAGAAGACACAGTGTTCCCATGAACATCGCACATACATGTGACGTTACATCATTTCACTAGCTTCCGCTTATCAAATAATATTTATGTTTTTCATATCTTTTCATTCGTGACAACTATACACAAAATATACACATGCGTGAGAGCACGCGACGTTTGACTTTGCCTCTATGACTAATAACCTTTGAAGAACTAGTTTTGCGCACGCAAATTATAATAAACATTCGTTTAAGAGGTTTACTTGGCACGGCATTTCCGATAACAGGAGCTGTTTTCTGAGTCAGTGTCTGCTAGATAACTGTACATCAAGCAGAGCACCGAGAGAGATTATATTCGCACATCTTTCCACAATTAAGTCATAAAAACACGCGATACACTTGCGACAAGACACATTAGACATTGGACACAGTTTCACCAGAATATTTCATTGACGCCGCTGTCTATTCTGGTGATTCTGCCATATGATTTCAGGCAGTGATTTCTGTTATTCTTTTCTTACGCGATGGGCTGCCAACTTAGACATTGGTGGAGACAAACCTTTCTTCTGTGCTGACAAGGACGATCTAGTGAGTTCCTTCACAGTTGCATTTTCATACCGTGAGTTGAACTCCCGCTGAGCACGGGGAGCAGATCCCGGCATCCATGGCAGAACTTCTCGCAAACCTGCAAAAGAAAATTTACGGCATTTGTTTCATGATGCATTCTTGTTGTAAGCTGCAGCAAACGCAGGCTCCAACAGTACGCGTATCACCAAGACAAGCATACTTTAGACATTTTTATGGTCCAAGTACAATATCTCTGCTAGAAAATAAAACCATATAGGATCTAGGACCACTGTGGTGCTAGCATACTGCAGTCTGTAACCGTAACTCTCGCGAGTTTACGTTCGGAAGTGGTTGGTCATTGATTATCCTGATGAAGGCGACAGTGGTCGTTGAAAATTGGAGGTCCCTTACTCGTTGTGTTAAAATAAACTTCAATATTTACCATACTGTAGTATTGACTGTCACTCTTGTTATAGTTTATAGACCCCCTTCCTTCTCACAACAGACATAAAACTAGTCAAGATGCCTTTTCACATGTGGGGTTGCGAAACCAAAGCTACCTAGAATGTTACCTACCTCGCTGGAAGTCAGGCATGAGCGCCGCATACACGACGAAGTTTACGACAACGGCCCCTTTGGCGATTGCAGCCGGAATGGCTCCGGCAAGAGGGTTTAACGTTAGCAGGTGACCGTACCCAGCAAAGCCAATGAGAGCCACGATGGCGAAGGGTGTCCAGGCCAGGATGAACAGCATGGTGACCAGCAGCCCGATCTTGGCGGTGTGGACGTCCACTTGTCTCCGCTTCTTCGGCAACTTCTAATGGGGACATAGAGTTTTCTTGCTTTTACGGTCTAGTCATATTACAAAAAATGTCCAGACTGTGCATGATGTACAAAATGACTAATGAACTGGTGGATGTACCAACTACTAAGTTCTTATACCAGCTCAGAAAAGAGTAAGGAATAGTCATGCCTTCATCAAGTACTTGAGTTATCAACCAAGGATTGAGGTGTTCAAAGACTTGTTTTCCCCCTAGAACTACTAGTATCGTGGAACTCGCTACCACCACGAACAATAGGGGCATCATCACTAGATAGCTTTAAACGTAACAATGCTTGAATTAGATGTTCAAGGCCTAGGTGTAGCAAGCCGCACGTCCAGTGTAATATGCTGCCTTATCTGTAAACTGAACACACTACACGTGAGATTGAACTCCTATCCTCGTACCTGAAATGACCCTTTGTCCATCATGCTCTTCAGCGCCAGGGTGCTGCGCCGCGCAGCCCGCCAGATGGCGTAGTAGCACACTACCATCACCACCATGGGCAGGACGAAGCCTGCCAGTGTCAGGGCCATGATGTACCATCTTTGGAACGTATTTCCTGGACATACGGAGCAGAAAAGTCATTAATGAACGGCATATCATAATATACAGATGATGCTGATGTACAGATCAACTCATTGACCAAGTTGGAGAAGAAATTCGCGTGTTGACTCAAACATACTGATAGGGCCAGAACAACACAATTACACAGTGAATCTCACACCCAACTCTGTGAGTTATGAAGTTTGCCGAATTACAGTAACTGTTATGATCTATCTCGTTGTACATGCATTATAGTCTGTTATGGTGAATAAGAAAAAAAGCCGGGCAATGCCTAAAGGAAATTTGTCAGTGTTTCTCTATACCTTATAAGCCAAAGCTCTAACAACAAGCAATAGACATCTTCCCTCCATGAACGAGGTTGGTGTTGTTAGGGTTCTTTTTTATGTTATCGCGTTATATGTGTTCATTGTTAAAACATGACAGCTGGGTTTAAATTTAATTGGACGTTATATGGCCATGAATAATGAGGGAGTTGCTTTGTGTTGGTACAATTTTAATTTTTATTATGTAAGTACCAACCCAGATAAACTTTCAAGGCAGTTTTACAGTGGCCTCCTGTCGGCTTCACAGACTACCAGAAGTGACATGCAGACTATCACCATGAATAGTGGTATTTCCTAATAGCCTGAGAGACATTTGTTTTCCTGGTGGTAGGAGTGCAAGGAGTCAAGTTACGAATGCACAACACCCAAGCTCCCTGTCTAAACCTAACCCCACAGGTCTCAAGTCCTTATCTATGGCAGCAAATAATCAATAAGAAATGCACAGCATACCTTGCAGAATAAGCTACACTACATATCTACAACCACCAACTATTATGGACACTAAAACACAGAAACTAAAAAATACCACGAACCAAAGATAATCATAATCAATCCTGCAGAGGTGAGGTCATTGACCTCTCAATCACAACACAAACAAACCACCCCATTAGCAAGGCCAGCAGGTCAATGACCCAAAAACCAGACCAAAGAAATATATAGCCTGTCAAACAGGTGGTAAAAATAGATACACTGCCATGTACCAACTGGGGTAAACACAGACCACACTACTATAAAATAGGGGTGATAATGTAGAAATCCTTTTAAATTAAGCAAAACAAATATACGACAACCTGCTAATGCACTCTAAAACACAAAGAGACTCAACAACTACCCACATACCAAAAATTATACCAAACCATCCACCAGATTTTCCAAACATTCAACACAAAAAGACCAACGTTAAACATATTGTAAATATCAAACGCAAACAGCTAGGAAGCCCAAATTTAAACCACTAAACCATGGTAATAACAACTACATGCTACCTTAATATCGCACAAACAGTCCATAACGCGCAAACAACAGAATAAAAAATTAAACTGCAGTACCAAGGTCAATCACCAGGGGCTCAAAGTCAACCTACACAATCTCCAAGGCCCCATCCATCAATCTGCCAAATATCGTACAGTTCCTTCTCACCGATCTTCAGATATCAGACCAAACATGAAACGGAGTAAAAACAATACCCCCATTTTCATGGAGGGTAAAAATACACACAAGTGTACCTGATAGGTAGTCGAAGGTGCAGCTTGTCTGGTATTTCAGCTTGGACCACTTGTTCCAGCCGAAGAACGGCGGTAAACACCAGACCAGGGACCACAGCCACACTACCGCCACACTCACCGCCATCCTCCGGCCTTGTAATTTAACAGTACATGATTAGCCCCACTATTACTTTGACTCTATGTCAAACTTTGACACTTTGACTCTATGTCAAAGACTTATGTTAGCCCTTATTGTTTTAGTAACTAGTTTAGGATGTTAAGTGTTTTTCTACACTTCTTTTGTTTTTACTATGTTCAATAGTTTTTGCCATAGATTGCACCATGTACAATTGTCGTGCAATAAACTCTTCTTCTTCATTAGAACTAATCATGAGACATGTCACCTTGTCTAACGGACACAGCCTGTAAGTAAAAGATTTGAACATAAGTAAACTTTCTGCATCTAAGAATGTATCCTGTATTGAAATACAATAAAAACACGACCTCAACTTCTGTATTAATCAATTGAAGGGCACACTGTCGTTTACATGAATTACAGCAAGATCTAGGTTCTCTAACTTCAACAGCAACAACGAACATCACACAGAAGGCTCACCCCGATTCAGTTTGCCGGTAAGCGGCATAGTGATAGCGATGCACCGATCGAGCGCGATCGCCGCCAGGGTGCAGATAGACTGTGTGCCGAACCACCCCGCCATGAAGCCGGTCATCTGGCAAACTGGCCACATAGGTCAAAGGTCAAACAAGTTCATAGCCATCTTACAAACTGCCAATAACAACATAGCAACGGTTAACAATTAACTGTAACTTAGTTCTAATTTTTTTAGTACAGGTGAGTGAGAAATAAATATCAATTCGCCATGTCCACGTTCTCAGGATGCATAGCGCCAGGGAGTAAAATTCCCAGGTTGCATAGCGCCAGAATTATGTGTTCCTGTGGCGATTTAATTTATATTCCTTGATGACAGAATTTAAATGTTCATAACAACATAGCTGCAACGATTAGTAATTATATAGTCAATAAATCAAACAATCAGTAAATACATCGATGAATAAATAATGCTGTGGTTGTCACAGAAAACTCATGTACCTGTATCACTGAAGATCCACTTCCGACTGAAGCTGGACGCCACGTAAGTGGGAACCGTCGCTAAACACATCAGGACGTTCGTGATGGCCAGATTCAACGTTAGCACGTTCTTCGTGTGGTGGAAATGTTTAGATCTAGACAGTGGAGAAGAAACAACGCAGATGTCATCAATACTATGGGTGGAATAGCTGCCCTGCAAGGGAGCGAAATATTGTGTGTATGTGTGTGTGTGTTTGTGTATGTGCAATACAAATGTGCGTGTGTATGTACATGTGCATGTGTGTTTGTGTATATCTGTGTGTGTGTTTGTGTGCGTGAAAATACAAATGTGTGTGTGTGTGTGTGTGTGTGTGTGTGTGTTTGTGTTTGGTGTGTGTGTGTGTGTGTGTGTATGTGTTTCTGTGAGTGACAATACAAATGTATGTGTATTTGTGTTGTGTGTATGTGTGTGCGCGTGTATGTGTGTCTGTTTCTTGTGTGTGTCTGTGTGTGTGTGTCTGTGTGTCTGTGTGTGTGTGTGTCGTGTGTGTGTGTGTGTGTGTGTGTGTGTGTGTGTGTGTGAGCCAACCTTACCTGAAGAAGACATAAACAATCAGCAGGTTTCCGACCCAGCCGACGAAGCCCACCAGTAGGACAAACGCCCCCAGGCAGTAGAAAATGATCGGATCCAACATCTTTCAGGGAGCCCCTCAGAACAGATGATTCTACAGGGAATGAAAGCTTTCTTCAGTAATTATGTTATAGCGAACTCTATGCCTGTCATACTGACAAGATAACTTGGACAAACGTCAAATCATTTCTCTCTGCTGCCTACTGATGGATGGTGTAGAGAGTGGTGAGAGTCTTTATAGTGGCAAGCTGTCACCACTATACCCTGCCTATGTGTTCATGTAGGGGGCTTGACAACGGCGATCAGAACGTCCAAAGGGATGAAAAGGACTACGATGACGATGATACACGACCAGACGACCCGCATGACGCCATTGCGCAGTCTGCTTCATACAGCTTTTACTTCGATGAAAGGCGACTGGCCAATCATTTGAACAAGACATATTTCCTATGTAAGATGATGGGCTCCAACTTCCTTTGGTACATGCGGTATTTTTACCTCCTCAAAGGAGGTTATTTCTTTACATTATTGCCTCAAACAAAGGAAAACGTATCTCATGGCTTAAGTAAAAGACGTCACCGCACAGCTACAAGTCTTTTAAAAAGGATTCCAGTTTGATGATGATATGTATCTATTTTGTCCTCTGTGGTTTCCAGGTCACCCGACGTTGGGTAGTCTGCGCTCGTGGGTCGAACCTTATTCTAGTCACGCGCCAAGAAATAATCAAACGGCTCTTCAGGAGTCAGCAGCTGGTTCTGAGTTGACGCGCGTGCAACATTAAAATTAGTGTCACCGGCCATATATTTAGGCCTTGTTCATATGAAACCACCCGAACCGCGATTCGGGTAACTCGCATTCCTCACATCTGGTCCACGTGCCACACATTCCTTCCAAACCGTTCCCGATCACGATTCTCCGAAACTGCATTCATTGTCGTTTGATGAAAACACGCAAGGTAGCGTGTTATCAATGTCAGGGGTCAACGACCTGCTTGCTGGTGTCCCCCTCCCAGCGTATCTCGGCCGAATGCCGACGTGGTCCCGCCAGAGGCGGTGAAGCTCGTCCTAGAGCGGACATATTATTTGACCATTACTTCTCTTTAAGTTGCTGCCACGTAAAATTTGGTATTGCATATGAATAAAGAAATATCACCCCGCAATCCATGACCAGGTGAAGTCACATTGAAATCACATTGCGCTCAGACGCAAATCGCGATGCGGGAAAACAGATTCGAAACCACCTCTAGAAGTGGTTTGGGATTGAGTCGCTTTCAATGTGATTTGGAGCGTTCAGATGGAGCCACTTGAAACCGGCTTCGGGGGAAACCACATGTAAAGCGTCTTAACTGACTTCATATGAACAGGGCCTTAGTGTCACCGGCCATATATTTAGGAAGGAAGTTGAATTCGTAACCAAGTCAAAACGTGCGTGACATTAACACAGTCCGTGTTCAGAATTTGATGACAAATTCAGATTTAGAATTTCAGTCAACCTGTTAGGCCCTGTTCATGTGAAGTCAATGAAGGCGCTTTACATGTGGTTTACCCCGAAGCCGGTTTCAAGTGGCTCCATCTGAACGCTACAAATCACATTGAAAGCGCCTCGATCCCAAACCACTTCTAGAGGTGGTTTCGAATCGGTTTTCCCGCATCGCGATTTGCCTCTGAACACAATGTGATTTCAATGTGACTTCACTTGGTCATGGATTACGGGGTGATATTTCTTTATTTATATGCAATACCAAATTTTACGTGGCAGCAACTTAAAGAGTAGTAATGGTCAAATAATGTGTCCGTTCTAGCACGAGCTTCACCGCCTCTTGCGGGACTACGTCGGCATTCGGCCGAGATATGCTGGGAGGGGGCACCAGCAAGCAGGTCGTTGACCTCTGACAATAATGACTCGCTACCTAGCGTGTTTTCATCAAACAACAATGAATGTAGTTTCGGAGAATCGTGATCGGGCACGTTTTAAAAGGAATGTATGGCACGTGGACCAGATGTGAGGAATGTGAGTTACCCGAATCGCGGTTTGGGTGACTTCACATAAACACGGCCTAAGCTGACGCGTGAGTGGTGCACGTGGTTTTCAGGAACTATGATAATTGGGTGACGAAACGTTACCATAGGTGCGATGTCAGCGGACTAAACAAGTACCTAGTAACTGAATTTATTCACCATTCACTTAAGGAATAACTGCGTCCACAAATTAACCACGTAAATTGAACTCATGGGTGTTATTTATGGGCACAAGGCCAAAAGACTGAACGAGTGCTTAGTTGCCTAGAAGTAGAGTCCACAACACCTTTTAAACACGGACTGGTTGCTTTTAGAAACCACGTCAGTGGGGTATGGTACTTGCATAACATTGTTTTATGGTAGAACGGCACTAAACAAGTGCTTAACTACCTAGCAGCAGAGTCCATTTACCTTTCACCCAGTGAATGGTTGCTTTCAGAAACCGCGTCAGAGGGATATTGTACTTACATAACATTGTTTGCTGTAAGTAGTAAGGCTGAAAAATGCTTAAGTGCTTACAACATGGCTCTTGTTGGCGTAAAATCAATTTGTCAAATTCCCAAATTAGAAAGCCATTCATCAACAAGTAGTTCGGGGTTTATAACTAAGCTGCCAAGCTTATGGGCTATTCTTTACATCGATTCATTCCAATCCTATGACTTGTAATCGCGGCTATACATAATGACAATTGTTTACTGCGTGGAGGGTACTGTACATTCGTTATTTCATGATCAACCGAAGGAAGGAGGATACTATTTTCGTCGTCGTTATTTGCTAGATTGATATATGAGAATAATAATGCCTGTGTGCTCAGTAGAACATAAGCATTCATTCTAAATTGATGTATGAGGAAAATATTGCTGATGTGGTCATTGCTGAATCCCTGGCAGATTACCCTCTAGCTGAAAGCTGATTTGAAAGCTGTCAGTTAACCATCGTGGTTCCCGGTTTGCATGATGTGAGCCTCTTACACAGCAGGAATAAAATTTTGAACCATTGTTCATTCCCTTCCAAGATCCGCGATTTTAGTTTCTCCTTTCCAAACAGGATACGCGACAACGTGTGAACGCATTGATATGATACATGTCTCGACTTAGGTCTTTTCCCCAGGTGCCTTGTACTTCCAGAACCCATTTAAGTACCATTTAAGATTAAGACTATCCTCTCAAGTATGACGTAGGTCTAGCATGGCATCTCGCTCTCAAGAGAGATTATGGGTTTAAACGGTTTGATATTACATGGCCCAGCAGAGGTCGATTTCCACGTCAATTCCGTAGGCCCAAAGCCATTCGAGTCGTAAACCGACTCCAATGTGATCAGAACAATTTCGGTGTAAATGCCATTGGCAACTTAATGCAATCGGATTCGCAATTGTACAGATTCTTCAGATAATATAATACACGGTAGATAGGATGAAATGGGCTTGCAGCCCTGCATGCATACACGTGCACATCAGTTTAACACTTGATATTCCGCCTCCACTTAACTGTCTATATAGCTCTTCTCTCCTTTCACCCCATTAAAGCAAAGTAGGGATCGATAGAAAGCAAGTGCAGTGGAAGGCTATGGGATTTGTACATGTGTGATACTTTTATATTCATTGGGGAATATACTTTGCATTCTAAGTGCGTCGGATGTAAAACACTCAGACGTGGAGTTTGTCTCATATTACATGTAAGACCAATATAACACTACCCCATACAAAGACAGAGATATTCTATATGTTACTATCATGCCCTGTCAACATTTCCACTTATGTAGGCCAATTTCTATACAATTCAATGACAAAACGAGAAAACGTAATTAATTCCTGACACAATTTATTACTACATTGTATCATTAGAGTTAGATTAGTATAATTAGTGTCTCTCTTTTGTTATACATTGTTTATGCCATGAAGCAGACCCGATTCCTATTACAGTTAGTAGAACTGTTAGATATTCTCAAAACCACCATATGTGTATGTTTACACCACAAACTATGTATGTATATTTTGCCATACGTTGTACCCGCTACATCTGTTGCGCAATAAAGTTCTTCTATATCTACTTGCATGGAGAAATAATAAAATGTTCATTCTATCCACGCTATGGTATCGACATGGGTGACCGATGTTTCATTAGAAAGAGTTTTCATTTTGTTTTACATATCCTGAAGACATCGGCCTCAGAGCCTGAAATTAAGAATTGTCCTCCGGGAAATTAAACCACAGACGAGCTGTTTCCTACATTCGTGTAACCTGCGTAAGGTTATGAAATGTAGCGCCACTGAGTCGCTATAATTTTTTTAAGGTTGAAGGAATCTTTCAGATCTGTTTATCTTCAGAATCTAAGTTTCAGCAAACAAGTCGACGACTTCCAATTGCACATTATAATATATTGTAGACACAGCATTAAGCAAGAATAATAATGTTTAGTTAAATCTAAAAACATATGGATACACTTAAAAGTTCAGACAACTTCCGCTGTCTTTCATCTGTGAAAATAAATATAGAAACTTTTATTTGATTTACTGATGAAAGGCACCAGACGGTGTTGGAAACGTCTGAACTTCTAAAGTGTATCCAGATGTATACAGATTTGATTAGAACATTACAATATTTCCTGTTTTGGTAGTGAACGGTTTCATTCGGGAATGTCACTGACATAAAACAGACCCTTACATGCAGATTACAACTGATAATAAAACAGGATAAACACAAACCTAATGACTTCTATTAGATTAGAGTAACTGCGCCCAACTACCATTACCTACTGTATAGGTTATTTGCTAAAACGTACATCTAGGTAGCGGTGTGGGCGTAAACAAGTGAGAATACTGACAAGGTTGGCCTTTATTCAACAGTCAGATTGAATGAATCTAGCAAGGTTTGAAGTACCTACGAAAGGGTATGCAATAGATGATGGTTACTTGACCTTTATATTTGCTTCACTGAAATGGGAAATGCCAAACAGCACTGGAAGTAAAAAAGAAGAACTTTAGTGCGCAACAGATGTAGCGGGTACAACGTATGGCAAAATATACATACATAGTTTGTGGTGTTAACATACACATATGGTGGTGTTGAGAATATCTAACAGTTCTACTAACTGTAATAGGAATCTGGTCTTCTTCATAAACAATGTATAACAAAAG